AGGCCAAAACTCTACTTATATATAGCAATTACTACATTATTTAAAAATTTTTTTTTTTACATTTGTATATTCTTGAGAGACAGAGACAGAGCATAAGTCAGGGAGGGACAGGGAGAGAGGAGACACAGAATCTGAAGCAGGCTCCAGGCTCCAAGCTGTCAGCACAGAGCCCGACGCGGGGTTTGAACTCACAAACTGTGAGATCATGACCTGAGCTGAAGTCGGATGCTTAACTGACTGAGCCACCCAGGTGCCCCTCCATTATTTTAAAATAGCTTATCTTTCTGTCTACATGGCTTTATATCTTTATTACCACTGCATAGTAATTAATAGACCACATGTTCACTGATGGCAGGGACTCTGTCCCAGTCAATAATCGAGGACCCAGTATGTTGCCTGGCACAAAGAACATCAATAAAGATTACTAAATTGAATGTATCTAAGGAATAAAACCTAGAGAGAGAAGGTGCAAGCTTGGCCTTTATGTCCATATTCTAGCTTCCAAATAATGCCAGGCTCCTCTGAGAATTCACCAGATCCTATCGGGGGGAAACCAACAGATGTGTGCAGGGGGCAGGCTGAACTACAGAGATGACGTTGGGCTGGGCACCAGACATGATCAAGCAATATAACTCCTTTGGTGAGTACTTAGATTCTCCACTTTACAGGACTTCACAGTCATCAGTTACTGGATCTTTTGGTTAAAGCTAAGTCAGGACAACATCAAATGCTGGACAAGAGCCTGCCGTTAGTCCAGGGGGCGAGGCACAGCCATCAAAGGCAGTCTCAGGCATGAATTTTCTATGTCTGATTCATCACAAGAGATAAAATGTCAGCAACTCTGCTGCCAGCCCAGCTCTGAACAACTCATAGAAGTATAACTCATCCTATCCTATGCTTTACTGTACAGTGAGCACATTCTTTAAAAAAAAAAATCAAATGGCTTAATATTTTCAGTGGACTTGTGAATGACTAATAATCTCATTGCACTTATTTTAAATGGGCTTCTGAATCACTGATGTATATTAGGTTTTTTTCATGTCACTTTTTGAGAGGGCATTATAAGTTTTGATTAAACGTCCTGTATTATATACATCATTTTCTGGCAATGTTCTAATCTTATTTTTCAATTTTAATATAATACTTTCACTGTTTCATAACTTTGAGAAAAAAATACTCTTTCTGTATGTAGTCCTATGAAACAGAGCAAGTTCATGAGTTTTCAAACTGCAAGCTATTTAATAGCCTCCATTTGGTAATTATAGAGATTTATATCCCTCTCCTCATCTCCCACAAAATTCAGAGCTGATCTGTCTAGTTGACTTAGAGACTGACTTAGAGGTCTATACATTCATTATCCTTGACAATAAGCTGTTAGATTAGGTTAATGATTTAAGACTAATATATGTTTGGAAATGGGAGAAAGAGGTTTAAAACTAATTTATAGGAATATAATCCACTGGTCATTTTCATGTTTCATCAAAAAATATTTTAGAGGATGTCTCAATAGTAATTGATCACAATGAGGTGACAAAATGGGCTGTCCTTGTTTTACTAGGAAGAGAAGGAAGCTATTATCTCCTTTTCGGTTCAGACTTTCAGGGTAACCAGACAGTTTATCATTTATCAAAGAATTAAAATAATCTAAAAGTTAGAAAGAAGAAGTACACTGGCACAATATGGATGCAGCTAATGTTACAAGTCCAAAAATGTCACCCATCTCAGTATGTTGTGTACTATCACTTAGAAGATGGTATAGCTACCCTGGTTTTCTCTTTCAAAATCTTTTTTTTTTAATTAAAAAAAATAATGTTTATTCATTTTTGAAAGAGAGAGAAACAGAGAGTGAGTGGGTGAGGGGCAGAGAGAGAGGGAAACACAAAATCCAAAGCAGGCTCCGGGTTCTGAGCTGTCAGCACAGAGCCCAACACAGAGCTTGAACCCACGAACTGTGAGATCTTGACCTAAGCCGAACTCTCATGCTTAACTGACTGAGCCACCCAGGCTCCCCTCTTTCAATATCTCTTAATACTCACCAACAAAAGTAAATTTATTTTTAACTCCTGCATGAACCATTGGGATATAAAATAGCAAATAATTTCATAGTATATTAACAACATATAACATGTACTTTTAAAATGCCATATAATTTTTTTTTAAATCTAGTTTTTTCAAGGTTTCTTGGGTTTTAAATAAATGAGGTGAATGAGAAACAAAATCATAGAAGTGCCTAATGTGACTTTAATAAAACAATTCTGTTTTAACTCTAGAGTTGTTGTCATATGCTATTTGTAGAATTTTATATTAACATTTTAGTTAACAACTTGCATTGTCTAATTATTAATAACATAAGTAAATTTCCCTTTGTTTTACATGCTAATTCTATATTAAATTATAGCAATTTAAGTATATATATATTTTTTACCATCTGGCTTGAAAATGTTTTCAGAAAATAAACTCATCAAATGAATTATATGTCTAGTCAATCATACGCTTACTATTATTTATGAATAACATTTCATTTACACCAAAATATTTTAGAGTCCTTTTCCTAGTATTAATTAAAGCTAGCATACATAGTAATATAAACTTTAATTTGCCATTAAACCAATTTAATAGAGAGACAGATAGATTAAAGAGATACTTTTGGGATTCAATCTTTCTCTGCACATACATTTAATCCAATGCTATGCTACCGTATACTAAAGGCCCTGTGCTGTGATGAATCTTTTTTCTGCTCTCAGAGATACTGTGGGGAGTAAGAACAATACAAAAAGAGTTCACAAATCAGGTAGGAAGGTCACCATCAGAAAACAACTCTGTGCATTTAAGGCAAATATATAGAGGCAACTTCTTTTAATAAGAAAGGTTTTATTTCTAAGCACTAGTGCTTCAGTTTTTCATGAGAAAAAAAAATTAAGAGACATGCTTTCTGAGAACATTCAGTTACAGCACTTTCAGAGGGAAGGGGGAGAAAACCCTGAAATCAAGAGAAAATGAACATAAAATTTGGGTCACTGCTAAATTAATATTTTCTCTGTGGGTTTTCCTTTACCAGTTGCTTTTATATGCACTTCACATCTAAGTATTTAGGCTAAATGCATTTGAAAATCTTGCTTTTCCACTGATGCTCCATTAGCAGGAGTGAACTCTGCTATATCAGGGTCTAAGCTATTTTAAAGCAAGGAGAAGGTTGCAGGACTTTTGTACTCAATAACAATTCATTCTGATTTTATTCTTAAGTCATGTCTGACATACTTTTCCCCCAGTGCCTTTTGACTTCTGCTTCTTCAGAAGTCTAAATTTCTGCAACATGTGAAGTTGGTGTCTAAGACATTTATAGCCTTCTTCTGTAGTATGTGAACCTGAGACTTCTTGTGTATTCATCCTAAATTAGTTTGCCTCAGATGACTAAATAGGGCCTCCCATACTGAATTGGATTGCTATTCCCACCATCTGTATGTTCATCATCTTAATCCTTTATTGATGTCAATCATGTGTCATATATGGGAAGATAAAAGAGAGAAATTACAAGTTGCATTTCCTTAGTGACCCAGGAATCAGAATCTATGGATATTTCTTTGTTTTTTTTTCTTTTTTTGTATAGTTTCCCAGAGTCCTTGTTTTCTTTGCTATCCTCATCAAATATTACTAAGAATGGATATGGAGATCCTGTTTTGCATATCTTGGAATTTCTCAAATCACTAAAATCTGTGCTCAATAAGCCTCTGTGTTATCTCTTGTCTCTCCTCCATCTTCAATCCCTTCTCTTCCCTTTGCTCTTTCCCTGAAAAAATAAACCTGTTGTTTCCTATGTGAACAAAGGGGACCCTTTGTTTTTCTTCTGACCCTAGAGCTACAGCATTTTCTCCTCTTCAACTTCACTGCTAAACTGTTTGAAAATGTAGTTTTCCCTTTCTGTCTCCATTTCTTTATATCAACTTCACTTTGAATCAACAGTAATCTGGGGCTGTCTGGTTTTAGCACTGAAAATCCCATGACCCAGGACATTCCTCAGCTGTGGACAAACTCACACAGCTGGTCACCTTAGACACCTCTTCCTCCCATAATCTCTACCTCTAATCACTCTTCAAATTCTGAGAGTCAAACTTCCTGCCTTTAAACCATTCTCTTCCTTTTTTTTTTTTT